TTGTTGTTGTGTAAATTATTTCCATTGACGTGATAATAATAATGATGATGATGATGATGATTTTCTAGTGATCCTTTTTTTTCTAACACAAAGCCTAGCTGTCAATGTTATTTCAAGCAACAATAACAATAGTGAGAGAAAAAAAATTTGATTTTTATTTTAATTTGAATCATTTGAAACTTTTTTCTGTAAACATTTCTTTCTCGAAAATATTTCTCCATTTCCGTTTGATTGAATGTTGTTTTGCAAATCAATTTGCAAAAATTTTGTCATTTCATTTCATTATATATTTTTTTCCATTTTCTAAATGTGACAAATGTGTATTGTAATCATCATCCTGCATATAGAGAGAGAGAATCGTCTATATGGAATTCAAGTTAAATGAAGCGAAATATTTTTTTTCATGTAAATCATTTTAGAAAGAATCAATAATGAAAAATTGAAAGGCAATATGTTTTATTTTTCCTCTGTTACTATGGTTGAAATTTTGAAAACGAAATTCGCGTGTTTTGCAAGATTTCATTTCATTTTTCGTCAATGATTTTCCTATCTAATGATTATGATGTAGGCAATAAGTGAATATGAATAATGAAAGGGAAAAAAGGAAAAAGGAAAGAAATCAAAAATTTGCCAAATTGAATGGAAAAAAATTGTAATTTTCCAATGTTTAAGTTTATCTTTTCTAGGGTTATGATTGAATTTGACATTTGATTTTTTACTCTTTTTCTTTTTCTGTTTTTGTTTATTTCATTATATATAGACCTAAAAGTGGTTCAATGTTATTATATTCACGTAAACAAGTACGTTATCGTCGTGATGGTTATTGTTGGAAAAAACGTAAAGATGGTAAAACAACACGTGAAGATCATATGAAATTAAAAGTACAAGGTATTGAATGTATTTATGGTTGTTATGTACATTCAGCAATATTACCTACATTTCATCGTCGTTGTTATTGGTTATTACAGGTAAAACAAAAAATTATCAAAGAAATATCATTGATGATCAACTTTTTCTTTTAATTTTTTTAAAAAATCTATTTTTCTCATTCAAAACCAAAAATCAAGAATCCCGATATTGTACTTGTACATTATTTAAATGTACCATATAATGATGATAATAAAATTATAATACCATCAATAAATTCATTATTAGATACACGTAAAGAATGGACACGTGAAGATCTTGTTTTAGAATTAAAACCAATGTGTAAGTATTATATATATTTTTTTCAAAAAAAAGTGTCTCTTTTTTTCTGCATATATTTTTATATATATAAAATAATAATGAGTATCACTATCACTATCCCCAACCATAATCATAATAAAATGTTTTTTCCTGGTGCACACACACACACTGCCATCGTTAATTATGATTGATGATGATATGGAGAATTTTCGAGAGTATTCCAAACACACACACACACACACACACACATTCACCATTGATACATATGATAAAAATTGCTAAGCCCAAACTAAAACAAAAACGAAAAAAAAACATAACGAAATTGATATGGGAAAAAAGCGTTCCTCATTTTTTTTGATCCATGAATTGTTTAATTTATAATGACAATATTCTCTCTGTGTAATCAGTGAGAATGAAACGAAAAAAAATTGTAACTATTTTTTCACTGATTAAAAATCGATAATTATAATCATTGATGAATTTGGCAATCAAAGAAACATCATAATGTCAGAATTTTTCAATTTTTATTTTAATTATTATCATCACCAGTGTCGAACGATTGATATTTATTTATCGATTAGTTTGTCTCTCTGTTGTTAATCGATATATTTATTTTCATTGTCATAGTGAATGTGTATTCATTCAATCGATCAATCGATTGAATATCGATCGATTTTGATTGTTTTTATCTTTGTCTTTTATTCGGATGTTGTTCGGAAAAAAAAAGTTTATTGGCCTATTGAAACAATCGGCTAAAGCTAGTCAGGATGAAAATATGAAATGATTTTTTACATCTGGCCAATTTTGCTATAGTTTCATCATCTTCAGATGTTCATCATCATTATCATTTCCTAAAGAAATAATTTTTTTTGGGCAATCATTGAGACGAATCCAAAATTGATTTTTTTTGTAATCAATTTTTTTTGTTTATTTTTGCACACACATCCGACATAGTTTTGGATGATTCTCTTTTTTTTTGGATTCCAAAAAGTCAAACAATCAAATTGATGATGACAATTTTCAATCATTTTTTTGTTTGTTTTCATTATGAAATTGTTGTATGATTAAAAACAATGACAATGAAAACATCATTATAATCATCATCATTGATGGATGTATGGCCGGAAAAAAATGAAACAGAATTTTTCAATTTATCTATGATGATGATGATGATGATGACAAGATGATGATGAAACAAACTTGTCGAGAATCAATAAATATTTTCATTATTGTTGTCCATAATGATAATGATGATGATTTTTTTTCGGTTATTTGTGAAAGAAGAAGACATCAGTTATGAACAGAATAAGAAATTCAGAACATTAAGTTATGATGATGATGATGATAATGATTGTTTATGAAAATCATCTTTCAAGTCAGCTATTTTGTTTTCCTAAGCTGCAAATGTAAACACAAATTGAACAAAAAAAAACTTGAGTACATCATCAAAACCGCAATAATAATAATAATAATGATTATTATTAGGATGATGATGACATTTAGCTAGAATTGGTAGATCCAAAAATGAAAAAAAGTAGAATAATGTTTTTCTTTATTGCGCTTTGGATCAAACAAACATACAAATTGAATTTATTATTCTAAAAATTATTAGGTAAATAAGTGAAAGAGTTGTTCAAACATGCGCATATACACTTTTCTTCAAAAGTCAAAATTTCAAAGATGACTATATGATTCATAGTCGAGTGAGGTTAGGTTGATGACAATGACTATGACTATGATTCATAGTCAAGTGAGGTTAGGTTGATGACTATGACTATGATACATAGTCAAGTGAGGTTAGGTTGATGAAAAAAATTAAAAAAAA